AGCTAACCTACGGTTGCGAGGCTATGATCCTGGTAGAATTGGGAGAACCATCTTGGAGAAGGGTTCAAGCCTTGTCGCAAGCAGAAGAAGTGAACAGCAGCAAAATAGCCGTAGAACTGGATCTGATCGACGAAGGTCGGGTTATGGCACATTGCAGAAATGTTAGCGCCAAGCAGCTCGTGGCTAATAGGTTCAATAAGAAGGTGAAGCCCAGGATGTTTGAGACAAAGGACTTGATGCTTCGAAGAGCAGATGTCGGAGGACGAAACACAGCTGATGGGAAGTTGGCTCCAAGATGGGAAGGCCTGTTCAGAGTAAAAGAAAAACTTTCAAGAGGAGCCTACGTTTTGGAAACCCTGCAGGGGAAACGCCTGTCAAGAACATGGAATGCGGATAAGCTGAAAAAATATTACAGTTGAAGGAAACCTCAATGCCTTTCTTTCGTCTTTTCTTTTATTGTATTATGTAATTTTAATTATGAATAAATTTGAACAATTATGTTTCCTCTTACAATTGCGAATACATTATGAAGCGACAGGACTAAAGTGTTTCTGCCATAGAAGATAAATCCGGGGTATTTGAACCTAACCCGCCAAAATGGCAGGGTTGAGAGTTCTAGCCTTGCAAGGGAATCCGGGGTATTTGAACCCGTCCAGCCCAACGGGTGGGATAGAGCGTTCTAGCCCCGTAAGGGAATCCGGAGGAATTGAACCCGTCCTGCCCAAAGGGTGGGATTGAGTGTTCTAGCCACGGAAATAGACACGAGGTATTTGAACCCGTCCAGCCCAAAGGCAGGATAGAGTGTTCTAGCCCCGTAAGAAAATCTGTCGGATTTGAACCCGTCTCACCCAAAGGGTGGAATTGAGCGTTCTAGCCGCGGTAACAAACTCGAGGTATTTGAACCTGCCTTGCCTCAAGCGTAGGTTAGTGTTCTAGCCCCGCAGCTCGGGACGAGGTATTTGAACTCGTTCTCCCAAGAAGGGATCAAAGGTGAAAGAAGGAAACGATATATAAATAGTAGAGATACACCAAAACAGTATGTCCGAATTTACCAAATATCATCAAGAATCAAAAACAGCGACCAACATGTGGCCCAGAATTCGTAAATGTTAATTCGAAAATCAAGATTACAAAATACCCCGGCATTCCGGGTCTTCAAGGTTGATCCGGGATGTGGGGAAAAATTTCCCTCATTTCTTGCTTAAATTGCTGTGCGGCGGCTTCCATCACCGGATTCCCGGAGGGAGGTGCATCGTTGGTGGTTTCGGTCTCTGTGGCTGAAGGGAAGAACGTGTCGCCCAAGACATATCCAAAGCAATCCAGCCAGTCCGTGTTCAGGGTCGCGTCTGGATTGAAGTGCTTGATCTGATTGACGGCATTGTTGAACGCAGTTTCAGCAGCGTTCTCCAGCACGGATTGACTATTGTCATAATCAGCTTGCAAATTCCTGACATCAGTCTTCAAATTCTGGACCTGCTGATTCAAAGCAGCATTGTTCCTCTCCAACTCGGATAGTGATGACAGTTTTCCCTTGACAAAGTTTATGATGGCCTCCTTATCTGCCTCGAGGTCGAAGGAGCCCGAAATAAGCTTCATGTCAGCCTGATATTGCTCCAAAGACGCCACTGAAGCAGCAGCGGAGATGGTCAAGTTCTTATTATCCTCAACCAGCTTGTCGCGCTCAGCCCGGAGGGTATCCCTGTCAGTTTGGAGGGCATCCTTTTCAGCACGAAGCTCGGAATGCTTCTCCAGCAGAACCGAGTACGGTTTCACCAAAGAAGCCGCTTTGTAAGTGTACAGTTCGGCCATCTCCAGCTCTTTCACTTGGGCCCTTGACAAAATGTCGGTCCCGTAAAATTCTGGCGGGGGACGAGTCACTCCATGCAATTCTGTAGCCACTCCAGTCGCCCACAGAGCGCCTCTCCTGAGCCCGGCAGGAAGGGGTGGGGGAGCCGGACTACCATGCTCCGTAGATGTCACAGCCCCGGCAACCCCAGCTGACCCTGCGGGGCGGATGTTTGGTAATTCCCAATATCCAGCCAGCTGTCATCACTGGTTAAATCCATCACGGAGACGTCGGTTGTCGCTGGAGGAACATTACTCGTCCCAACAGGAGGACTAGTGGTCTGTGGTCGCTTCAGGGCATGGGATTGAGTCCGAGCAGAAGACTTCCCTCGCCGGGCTAGAACGTAGTCCGGAACCTTGTCCGCGGAAGGATTCATTTGGGAACCTGCATACAGGAAAACGCAAGTCGGGGTTAGTAAGCAACACATACCTACAATGCAAAATATGAACATGTACGCGTAAATCCATACTAGTTTGGGGAAGGTCGGCTGTAGACTTTGCCACTAAGGAGGCAGCGCTCAGATGCCCTTGAGCCCCGATGTGAGCCAGCAAAGTCTTGGCATGTGTCTTTTCCTCTGCTGACAACCCCAGCCGGTAGTATGCCGGCTTCCGCAAGTGGTGATCATATGACCAGTACGGGGGGAATTTCCCTTCCCCATTCTCGTGGAGAAACCACGGCTTGGCACCGACCTCGACAACGACTTTAAAAAATGCACCTTTAAAGTCCTTAAAGGAGTCACTGTATACTGAAAACAATCTTCTAGAAGTCGGCTTCTTTCCTCCACGACCCCGGATGCTGGTCCACCCCTTGAGCTCAGCAGGTTCAGACCCGGTTCGGGGGGTGTATATGTTAAAAAAAAAAAAAAGGCCACGGTTCTTGATACAGACAACGAGGTGCATAATTGTTCGAAGGCAACAATATAAGCCCAACCATTGGGTTGAATTTGTGTGGGGGCAAGGTGAAGGTGATTTAGTAGTTGAATTTTGAAAGCGGAAAAAGGAAAGCGAATACCAATTTTGGTGATTAAGTCACGATACCAGAAGAAAACCGGAGGTTCTTCGGGATTCCGGCCCGAGCAGACGGGTTCGTCTTCGGCAGGGCAGAAAGTATCAAAACCCACTGGGTTGCCTATGGGAAGCCCGAATATCTCCTCAGTCGTCATGTATGACCGGAAGCTAAGCACCTCCTCGGTCACCCAGGGAAACTGCTTACGAAGAGTTGTATCAACGGCAAAAGAGCCTTGTTCGGCAGGGCTGGCGTCGGCTTCTCGACCATGACTTGACGAGGTCATTTCAGGGGCAAATTCTGCATAAGGGGACTCCATCAAAACCTAGAACAGCAAAAGAAGGGGATTAAAAACAGAAACAATATGTGACAAAAGTGTACGTACCTGAGCTAAACAAACTATCGTGGGAAGAATCGGACAAATCATCAGAAGAAGACAAGGAAGCAGAGGCAGGATCTAATAAGCCGGGATAGTGGGTGCAACTTCCTAGCACCACATCGGCCATAAAGTCGCTCCCTCTCTCAATAAATCGGCTCCTAAGATAGACACAGTTAAAACACGGATCTATGTTCTTAGCACCTGGGATAATGGTTTCGGACTGAACAGGAACTTGAACCCGGGTGAGGCTTGAAGCCGGTTTAGGAGCCAAATTGGCGGAACCTAAGCCTCTACCTAGATTTGGGTTGGAATGTCGGGATAGAACAACCGGGATACGGCCAGATCGTTGGCGACGCCCTCGTGTGGGAGGATGGGATGAAGAACTTCCTCCGCTTCTACTGCCGCGATAGCTCCTAAGTAGGGCGGCTTGCGTTTCGTCCTGGGTCCGAGGTATACCATACAACCAAAACCTCGCGCCAGGGGGGAGGCTCTGGACATATCTCTCCTCCTCCCGTGTGGCTTGTTCTTCCTCCTCCAGTAGAATCTCATCACTACGGCCAAAAACACGAGGGCAGGTGGACGTCCCTCTACCGTGCAAATTCCCCCCTTTCATGCTATTAAGGGGAGAGCAAGGCATAAACAGGTGGACAAGGTAATAAAGTGACAACAGGAAACCCACAGTCAAGTACCCAAGGGAGAACATTGCATTAACAGGCAAAGTATTCTAAAGGGTGTATGCCTAAGTACGCATAGCTAAAACAAGAATACCCAGAGACAGAAAATGCGCCCCTGTCGAACATACATTCGAGCAAAAGGAGAATCAAAGCAAGAGAGGAAGAAAAACAAAGGAGGTTGAAGTGCATACCTGGTGCAAATGAAGGATGCGAGAGGTGGCAAACGACGGGAAGCTGGCGAACGGAAGGAAGTCTTTTGGAACGTAATACAGGAAATGTTGAAGGAAGTTTCTCAGCGTAATGCAGCAAGTAAGAAAATAAGAAAGGAAGAAGCGCAAATCAAATAGATGAAACCCGCGAAACCAAAGGTCAAGGGTAACTTCGCAAGGAAAGACAGTTGAAAGGACGCTGGGGCAGTTGCAATAAATGCCAGCAGCTCGAGCAGGCGTAGTGGCACACGTCGCGCAGATATGAGAGGGCCACGTGGAGGGTTGTAATGATTGCCTGCAAAAGGAAGATTCGCTGCAGTAGTAAGGAAATCGGCAAGGCACCTTTCACCCCGGCATCCTGAAGGCTCTGTCTACTCGGCATGACACCCCGGCATCCTGAAGGCTCAGCATACCGGGCTGGGGGGCAACTGTTATGGACCAGAATGAGGCCCATGATCAGTAAGGCCCATGATCAGCACAGGCCCACAGGTAAGCATTATAAATAGGAGCTAAAAGCTACAGGTATGACCTAATCTCTTTTTACCTATTTACGCAGCCTAGGTAGTACACACATACCTCACCCAAGGGGCCATCAGATAGTGTGTGATTTGCTGTCCCCAAGATACCTAACTCATAGGTATCCAGAGAAGGCACCTGAATCATAGATCAATCATCCAATTCTGATTGGACACATCTGCCTTAGGCATAACACTTTCAAACATATTCAGCTTTTTATTCACATTTTTTTCATTAACTATCGTTTTCTAAAGTCACGCTATTTATGTAAATAAACAACTCAAGTTCTGTAAATATCATTCACACACAAAGGGCACCAGTATATGATATTGGCCGTGTATTCCATTGTGCGCAATCTTTTTGCATTTGACTGCAGACAAATCAAATCCTTTATTTCCAAAAGAAAACCAGTATTTGATGAGATATCTACCATATGGTTATCTTATACCAGCAATAGTGAACCAAAACGTTAGTCACTCAGAAAGCATCGATTTAGCAAAATGTGAAACACTTTATTTATCAACTCAAGATGTCCTAACACCTCAGGCTGCAATCTGAATATTGCCTTCAAGTTGTAAGCTTACATGATATCTAGAACTGGGGAACAGTTCTTATCTAGCATATTTCACATGGCATGCAGTGAATTTTCAATATCAAACAAGAACCATATCTCATTCACCCTATTATCATATTCAAAAGGGGCATTGTACTGTGCCACAGAGTAAACAGAAGAATGACCAGCTTTATGGCTTTTCTCAATGGCAGAAGACCACTCAGTGCCAGCAATACTAGCTTGCAAGGCTGCAGCTTCTTCCCCAACATTTGAGTCACTCACAAATCCACCAAACTGCCTAACTGCTGCATACACAGTTTTCCATCTTTGGACTTGGAGACCCTTTGCAGGAGGTGGGTTTGCTTGGTTCTCCTTTGGCACAAAGAAGCTGACAACAAATGAGGACTCACAAAAGGGTCCATCACTTGGTGAGACTTCACTAAGCACAGGCGCTGTCATCTCAATTTTCTGCTTGTAGTTGTTCTTACCCTGAATATAATCAAATAGCCTGAGGGAAACAAAAAGGTTACTCAAATTTATGTAGAAAACCAATTCAACTTAAAGAGCTCAAACTCATAAAAGTGATGGATCTTCAATACTTTTTATATTATATTTTCTCCAACACACCCTTTCATATAAAAAGTCTTTTGAGCATGAAGCATAGATGTTACATAGACCCCTTTATTGATTCTACCTTACGCAGACTTAAATCACGAAGTAACAAAAGTATTAACAACGTGTAAAGAACTCAATTCAAACTAAGACCTCAAGTTATCAAGTGATTAAACTTCAATAATTTTATATTATATTTGTCTTACAAACTTTTTAGATGGAACTTTCCGGTGCCATAATCACTTAGTGAAAACTTTTTGCACTGTGGATGAACATTAGATTATAGTTTTATTTTATTCAATCAAATATGCAATTTATAAGTTTAAACGTTAAGCTATGTTTTATTATTTACATAAAAAAAAAAAAAAATTGTAGCATAAAATTATGGCTATATTCTTCTAAATTTACTAATCAAGATGCAACTTCACAAGAAAATAACCCACAATCTGATCAAAATCAGCTTTCAAGAAAAAGAAACAAAACCTTCTGAAGCCAGTTCTTGTAGCTTTAACCAGTGAAATGTCTTGAATGGGAGAATTTGAAATCCACACTGTTGAATTATAGCGACGGATTTCATAGCCATTGCTGATTTGTATGACATCATAGGTGGGACACTCTATGCGCTTGCAAGTTGGGGGAATTGTCCCTGCATTCTGAAGGATAGTATCTGAACTGACACCGAAGAATGAAACTGAGAGGAGGCTTAATAGCAATGAGAGCTTGAATGTGATAATAGCAGCCATGGCTAGAGATGCTGAATGCCAAAGAGCAAAGGTTAAACTAATAAATGTAAAATTCTATGGCTACAAAGAAACTGAGTTTAATATCCACACATTGAATGGATCACTCTGGTGACATTTTGAAACATACGGAAAATATTTATATGAATTATTATTTATTTATTTCTTTGGGTTATAATATCCTTGAATTGATGAAATTGCATTTTGGGTCAAAATCAGAATGTACAAAAAGGCCCACGGCCCAACTAACTAACTATCAGGGTTTGGTTTGCATCATGTATTTGAAATGCAGAAGTGCATTAGCTGAACTGAATTAATAGCATATCATACACATTCATTTTACATTTCCGCTGAATTGATTTTTCCTTCAATTGGTATCAGATGCGAATTTAGTCCCCCATCATTCGTGTAATTTTGATTTTGCTTGAAAAATATGACATCTAGGTTTCTAAAATGTTGGATTGTATTAACTGTTATATTCCTTTTATTATTCTTATTCATAAATGGATGCCAAAATTGTGGGGTTTTTTTTTTTTAATCCATGGTGGATGTTGGATATGGAATTATAACACAGGAATTAATCTTTTCTGATTATGTTTTCTCTTTATTTTTATTTTTATTTTTCTCTTTCAATTTTGTTTGTATTGGTAATTGTTTGGATGTATTTGTGAATAACCATCTATGAAGCACCGACACTTCAAAAATCCTGACGTGTCGTGTCCGACACTAACCGACACTCCAATACTCATTGTAAAGACTCTAAAAATGTTCAAATGTTACATTGCGTTGCATTTTGAGTTTCAACTATTAGATTCGTTGGATTACGATTTTATTGAGTTTAATATAAACATTTGAGATATTTATGTTTCTTTGTAAACTTGATGGGTATTATAAGTTTAGCTTTATTTTTTTGTTAAATTATTGAACACTAATATAATATACACTACATAAATTTAAAATATTATATAATATCAAAATGTATCCCAACGTGTCGAAATTTAACATTTTTTAGAATTAACGTGTCGGAGTGTCGTGTCGTGTCGTATCTTGCGTCCCGTGTCGTTGTCGGTGCAACATAGATAACCATTGACCGATTGGACAAATACTTAATAATGGTAATTATTGAGATTATTGTGATTTTGAATTCACCGCGCAATAATTAATAATTATTATCATTTTCACAATTTAGATTAATAATTAATAAAATTTGTAGAAAATTGTTGAATAAGATGCGGGTCTTATTATATGATCATGTGAGTTGTCTTTGTACTAAGCATGATCGGAAATAATTATGTGAATACCTAGATGGCCAAATTTATAGGTTTCCTGTAATAGGAGCTAATACTGTTGGACTGGAAATTAAGGGAAAGAGTAGAAAGAACGTGATAGGGAGAGAAATAAGATAGACAGGGGAATATTTCTGAATATTACATATATATTATCTCAATTCATGGTGTACTTATACTCATAGTTGAGTTACATGGTAATTGAAATACAGTAATTAGCTATAACATTGTAATTATAAAGCAAAGTAACAACATAATTGGTACGGGCCTCCTATGGGCCCTTCTCTTTTAGCCCATGATATAATCTTTCAGATAGGTTGGCTTGCTCCTCATTCTTTTGTTGCTCCCATGATTATGGGTTGGACCTGGGCTTCCAACTCGGTCCATTACATTGTTTACCCCTGGAAAACCCGACTTGTCCTCAAGTCGTAATGGGTCCAGAGCCCCTTGGGCTTGTGAAGGAAATTGGCCAATAGAATTGTCAAGGTCAGCTGACATGGGCAAGTGGGTGACTGGGCAAGGACGTGACATTGAGCAAGAAATGGACGGTGGAGATGCTACCGACACGGGAGCTGAAATTTGGATCGTGGAATCCGAAAAGTTGGTGGTTCCGAGCTGGATCTCATTAGTGGGAGTCAACGATGCAGATCTTGCCGACACTAGAAGAACGATCTGAGCCTTTGAATTTGGAAGCTGATCAGTGGTCATAGAGCGTGGCTGGACTTTAATGTTGGGGAAAGTGGGTAGCTGCCTTGGAAGCGTCTCTTTATTGTCTTCCCCATGGTTCTCTCCTCCGAAAGTCTTTGTGTCATGTGCTCCTATTACTCCTGTGGTGTCATAACCCAGCGGAACGTCTGGATGATGAAGGGTCCCCTCTGTGTCTAGTGTATGAGGAAAAGATGGTTCTTTTGGGTCGCTTGTTCCCTTTGTGTGATCTGTTGCCATCCTTTTGTCTGTAGCTTTCTGTTCCCGATTTCCCATATTCAAAACTAGTTCTTTATTCTCCCAAGTGGAATCCTTCGGTGGAAGTCTTGCCATTGGACAAGGACCTGAGGAATGAGCTCCTTTTTTTTCCAAATCTGTCTAGAGCCCATAATCGCACATGGTATGTGTAGCAGAGGATTCTCAGTCTCTGTAAATGATAAAGGATGAACCTTGTAACGATGACCAAAATGAAACGGTTGTAGCTAGGAGACATCAAAAATGAGATGAATCTTTGTCGTGGAGGGAAGCTTCAAGCTGTATACCACTAGCCCGATCCTTTCTGCTATTTCAAATGACCCATAGTATCAAAGGTCTAGTTTCTGAGATGAACGACGGGCGACGGAGATCTGGCAGTAAGGTTGTAACCGGACCAGAACTAAGTCCCCAGAGGTAAAATTCCAATCTTTCCTCTTTTTATCTGCTTGTGCTTTCATAACTTGTTGAGCACTGAAGATTTTTTCTTTTAATGTGCCAATGATTGACATTCTGTCGGAGAGGGTTGAGTCCACTGCTTCGTTGGACAAAGACCCTAAGCAATAAGCTAGCAGGTTAGGTGGCTTGTGACCAAACATGACCTGATAAGGTGTCACTCTTGTGGATGCATGAAAAGAAGTATTGTAATGATATTCCACTAAGCTTAAAAATTTGGACCAGTTGCACAGATGTTCATGAGAAATGTAATTTTCCAAACATCTGTTTACTCTTTCGGTTTGGCCATCGGACTGGGGATGGTAGCTAGAACTAAAGTTTAGTTTTGTTCCCTGCAGTTTAAATAAAGAGTGCCAGAAATCACTTAGAAAAAATGGGTCACGATCGGACACGATGGATTCGAGAATCCCATGAAGTTTGCCAACAAAATCCCAAAACAATTGGGCCACTGCAGCAGCTGAATACGTGGCAGGGAGTGGGCTGCTTTGGAGAATCGATCGACTACCATCAGGATTCAAGTATGTCCCACTGATTTGGGTAGATGAGTGATGAAATCCATGCTTAAGTGTCCCCAAAGAGTTTCTGGTAGTTGTAATGGTTGCAACAGTCCCAGGGGTGGGTGAATAGAGGATTTCAACTTCTGACATGTTTCACATCTCTGAATGTACTCTTTAACATCCTTTCCAAGTGAAATTCCTTTGAATGCAATGGAGGTAGGCCTGTACCCCCGAATGACCACCTTGGACACGAAGTGTGGTAATCATGAAGGATATGCCTAATCAAGGAAGAACCAGCTGGAATGAAGATACGAGAACGGTGGAAGAATAGCCCATTTCTGAGACGCCAATCAGGCATAATCATAGGGTTGACTTGTAATTGTTGTATAAGCTATGTAGAGTAGGCATCAAACTTGTATTCAGACTGTAACTTATTGGTATAGTTAAGCACTGGGCTAGAAATAGCTATAAATTGGGGTGACTGGTCTGCGGTGCCCCTTGTATGCAGTCAAGAAAAACTGTCGGCCACTGTGTTAGTCTTGCCCGACTTATACACTATTGTGTAAGTGAATCCCAATAGTTTAGATAAGAATTGTTGCTGCTATGGGGTTTGTATAACCTGGTTCATCAGGTTGTGTAAGCTCTTGTGGTCCGTGCGTATAGTAAAAGGCGACCCTAGTAAATACTGTCACCATTTACTGATGGCTGAAGTAATTGCAAACATCTCACATACATAAACTAACTGACGTTGCATTGCTGGTGATAATTTGCGGCTAAAGAAAGCAATAGGTTTCTCATTTTGTAAAAGCACCGCTCCAATACCCACTTCAGAAGCATCAGTTTCCACCATAAATGGTTCGGATAAATTGGGTAAAGCTAGAATAGGAGCCGACACCAAGAGGTGTTTCAGTTTATCAAAAGCCTGACCAGCTGTTTCAGACCATATAAAACCCGATTTGGATAATAAATACGTGAGTGAAGCAGCCATTGTAGTATACCTCTTAATAAATTTTTTGTAATAACCAGAAATGCCCTCACCTGAGTAACATTTGTAGGAATTGGCCACTCTAATATAGCATTGAGTTTATCTGGATCAGGGGTTACTCCATGACCAGTAATAATGTCACCCAAATAAGGGATCTCCATTTGGGAAAATGCACATTTTTCCTTCCTGGAAAATAATGAGTGAGAACGCATGGTGCCAAATATAGCAGTGAGATGATCCACATGGTGTTCTGGTGTTGAGCTATAAACTAAGATATCATCAAAGAAAATGACCACAAATTTCCTTAGGAAATAAGAAAAAATAGCATTCATTGTAGATTGAAAGGTTGAAGGAGCATTGGAAAGACCGAAAGGCATGACAACAAACTCAAATTGCCCATGATGCATCCTGAAGGCAGTCTTATGAATGTCAGGAAGGTTCACTTTAACTTGATGGTAACCAGACCTTAAATCCAGTTTAGAAAATATAGTAGCTCCATGGAGTTCTTCTAGCAGTTCATCAATAGTGGGAATAGGGAATTTATCTTGCATTGTAATGGCATTAAGAGCACGGTAGCCCATGCAAAATCTCCAAGTTTCATCCTTCTTTTTGACTAATAAAACTGGGGAGCTAAAAGTGAAATGGTTGTGTTGTATGATGGCTTTCTATAACATATCTGCCACCAATTTTTCTATTTCATTTTTCTGGTAATGTGGATAGCGATAGGGTTTTACTTGAATGGGTTTTGTAACACCCCGTGTATACCCGGTTTGTTAACATGTCATCGTATTAAGCCACGCTTAATTAAAAATGCGGAATATCTTTTTCTTTTCAATTATGACATCATTATCATTAACCAAGTTGATTATTAAA